AGAAGATCGAGAGCAGCGTTGAATAGCAAGAACGCCGAAAGGACATCTTTGTGGCGTAGTCCGCAGTTTATAGAGAACCATTTAGATAGCCCACTTTTGGCACTAACAGCAGGCATGATTCTCGCGTGCTTACAAAATGGAAACGCTGTTTAGGAATCCCATGGTATTACAGAAATTTCACGTCGTTGGATGATGAAATTGGCGGTCAAAAGCAACTTGAATTATCGGAATTGGTCACTGATCTTAGGTGAGAAATTTCATCGGGACTTGAGTACCGTGCGCGAAGGTCTGATTTGGAAAAAATCTGCCATGTATTGCCTGCCTCACCCTTTCCGAAAGAAACGTTTCCGTGGAGTTGACACGACGATGCTATAAACCGTTGGTAGTCCAACCACCTTTAAATATAGGAATAATATTCATCGCACATCTATTTTCTTGGGAAGTGTTTGGAGGCTCACTTTTGATGAAATAGCATGAAGTGCTTCTTCCATTCCCGTTCCTCTATGCTTAAATAATCACGTAGGAGTTCGATCCACTCTGCAGTCCTTCATATTGACACGAAGGTTTTCTATTTTTATTTCTATTTTTGTGGGTGAATCTGACGCAACCTCCAATATTGTTTAATAATGTACATGCAGCGGCATTGTTCTTCCATTGAAATTCGGAACACGCTGGTTTTCGAGCGCGTGTATTTGTCAAACGCATTTCATCGACTTATGTTGTCTTCAAATATGTAAATAGAGTTGTCATATTTGTCATAGAGGAACATCTGTTATAGAGCGAGGTTGCGAGTTCGTAAAGCGTTTTGCCAAAAATTGTGGCATAGCGTTACCTCTCCGTTGTTGTCATGGTCACTTAGGCCTCATAAAGGTAAAATGATATCAATAAAGTGGTTCGGATTCAACTGAAACAGTGTTGCAAAGTCTCTCAGGGTGTTTGCTCCTTGCATGTTAACCGAGTTAAATTATGGCCTTTTCAAAAGCACGTCCTCTAGCGGATTCTGACAAAGTTTGAGAGTTATCACCATAATTTTCATAATTACTTAACAGTAATCGAAAGAAATTAATTGATGAAAATAAACTGTTATAATGGGTTTGCTTACTTTCAGTATCGCCGTTAAGAATTTATAGCCAGTATTTTTGGTGTATCTCCGTCAGTGTTCGACCCGAAAAAGTTGTGCTGCTTTGCGCCCATGCAAGTGCTAAAATAACATGCGGACCCGTGGCTGCTTAAACGGTTCCCTAAGCTGCTAGAAGCAAGGGTTAGAATGCCTACGCCATGTAAATCCAGAGTTGATACGAGAAAGAAATGAATTATCTACAATGTCATCAACAAATTGAACTTCATCTTCATCTTCATCTTCCATCGCCGCTTCTCCTTCCGGGTCGCGGAGGCAGACGCGTCAGAC